ATAAAATCAATCTACAAAAATCAGTAGCCTTTCTATATACCAATAACAAGCAACTGGAGAAAGAATACAGGGAAATGTTTCCATTCACAATTGCTGCAAAAAATTTAAAATATTTTGGAATAAATCTGACCAAAGGCACCAAAGATCTCTACAATGAAATTTTTTTTTTTTCTTGATCCTTTTGAGACAGGGTCTCCCTGTAGCCCCAGCTGTCCTGGAACTCACTGTGTAGACCAGGCTGGCCTTGAACTCACAGAGATACACTTGCCTCTGCCTCCCAAGTGCTGGGATTAAAGGCGTGTGCCACCATGCCCAGCTAACAATGAAAAATTTAAATTGTTAAGAAAGAGATTGAAGAAGACACCAGGAGATGGAAGGACCTCCCACGTTCATGGATTGCAAGAATTAATATTGTTAAAATGACCATCCTACCAAAAGCAATATATAGAGTCAATGCAATCCCATTGAAAATCCCTGTGACATACTTCACAGAATTAGAAAAATGCATCCTTAAATTCATATAGAGGCCCAAAAGAACCTGGATAGCCAAAGCAACCCTGAGCACAAAGAGCAATTCTGGGGGGATTACTCTACCAGATCTCAAAGTATACTACAGAGCAATAGTCTTAAAAACAACATGGTACTGGTGCAAAAATAGACACATAGATCAATGGAATATTATTGAAAATCCAAACCTGAGTACACACAATTTCAGCTACCTGATATGTGACAAAGGTACCAAGAACACACAATGGAAAGACAGCATCTTCAACAAATGGTGCTGGCAAAACTGGATCTCCACCTGTAGAATGAAACTAGATCCTTATCTTTCATCTTGCACAAAAGTCAACTCTGAATGGATCAAAGACATCAATGTGAAACTGGAAACCCTGAAACTATTAGAAGAAAATATTGGCACTTACAAGATATAGGTGTAGGAAAGGATTTTCTAAATCAGACAGAAGTTGCTCAGGAATTAAGGTCAGCAATCACTAAGTGGGACCTCATTAAACTAAAAAGCTTCTGTACAGCAAAAGAAACAATCAAAAAAGTGAAGATAAAACCCACAGAATGGGAAAAAACTTCACCAGTGATACATCTGACTGAGGTTTAGCATCCAGAATATATAAAGAACTCAAAAAACTCCTAGAATCGAAAAACCAATGACCCAATTAAAAGATGGGCTAAAGATCTAAACAGAGAGTTCTCAAATGAAGAAATAAAGAGGGCTAAGAAACATCTCAAAAAGTGTTCAACATCCTTAGTGATTAGGGAAATGCAAATTAAAACCACTCTAAGGTGGTTTTACCCCAATCAGACTGGCTAGGATCTAGAGAACAAATGATACCAAATGTGGAGAAAGGGGAATGCTCATTCACTGCTGGTGGGATTGCAAACTCTGCAGCCTCTGTGGAAAACAGTGTGGAGAACTCTTAAAAAACTAAAAATGAGCTTACCATATGACCCAGTTATACCACTCCTTGGCATATACCCAAAGGACTCATCCTGTTGTAGAGACACTTGTATAACCATGTTTGTTGCTGCTCTTTTCACAATAGCTAAGATGGAAGCAACCTAAGTGCTCCTCAACTGATGAGCGGTTAACAAAAATGTATATTTACACAATGGAGTTCTATTCAGCATTAAAGAAAGATGAAAAAATGAAATTTGCAGGTATATGGATGGATCTAGAAACTGTTATACTAAGTGAATAACACAGACTCAGAAAAACAAACAACATATGTTCTCCCTCATATGTGGCTCCTAGCACCAAATACTTCTAAATTCCAGGTCCTTTTAATAAGCTAATGCTATACAGCAGTCCCTTCTGCATGAAATAACTGCCATCATCACTCCTTCAACTCTGCCTGGTTGCTAAACATCATCACAATTGGGCTTGTTGTCAGTTGTGTGCCTTCATTAAAGGTGGGGCAAACAGGGTCATTGGATCCTCACCACAGTATCCAGCCACTCTTCCCAGCCAACTGCATGTAATTTGACCCTAATCACACATGGCCTCCTGGATTTGGGGAGGGCTAAAGTATACAATCTTGGGAAGGTTCGGAAGAGAAGGCTTGACCCATGCTGCTCCAATGGGCTCTCATATGAACATTTGAAAATTGCCCTGTTCTGACCTTTTTCTGGTTCCCTGTCTGGAACTTGTAATGCTAACTACTCTTGCCTTTACTTCTCCTTCACATTTCTAGGCACCAGTCAAGGATTTTCTTTTCTCCCTACCATTAAGAGTTATGCAATGTGGTAGTATTTTAGTTAGACCCACTGAAGGGGTACTCCAGTTGCCTCACCCTGCATCTCTGTTCAGCATGGAAGAAGCCAGAGCGGTCTATATCCCTATTCCCTATTGGCAATTTGGGTAACCCCTTCAGAGGATGGCGTGATAAGAATAGGAGGCAGAAATTGA